GTTCAAAGAAAAATACTTTTGTAGTTTAGTTTATTGAGGTAAAAAATGCCAAACATCGTCTCTTTGACAATCCGGTGACATGTTCAGAGCCTTGTAGCTCATGAGTGATTATATTTGTAACTTATTAAATACTATGCGGGTGTAGCCCTATGAATGGGCTATCGACGGGCATAAGTTTTGTTTATTTTATTTTCACTGAATTTTTTATATAAAATTTGAAATATCGTCGAAAATGAAATTAACCAATATTTTGAACTCACTTTATCAAAAAAAGGCCATTTTTTATTTCGTTAAATTTTTTTATTATTGCTGCCGATCATATGAACTTTCAATTGGCTTGATGCGGTTTCCCCCTTTTCTCGTTGTATCTTCTCAAGAAGTGATCGAAATCGCTCCCACGTGACAATGCGGTGACAACTTCAGAGCCTTGTAACTCATGAGTTATTATATTTGTCGCTTACCAAATACTATGGAAGTGTAGCCCTATACATGGAATATCGATAGGAATAAGTTTAGTTTATTTTATTTTCACTGAATTTTTTATATAAAATTTGAAATATCGTCGAAAATGAAATTAATTGATATTTTGAACCCACCTTATCCAAAAAGGCCATTTATTATTTTGTTCAATTTTTTTTATTATTATTGCTGCCAATCATATGAAATTTCAATTGGCTTGATGAGATTTTCCCTTTTTATTGTTGTATCTTCTCAAGAAGTGATCGAAATCGCTCCCACGTTCTCAGAACAGCCAAACGCAGTTTCCGCAGGTCGGCTTCGCTGCAAAGACTATACTGCTTATTTGTGTGTTCAAATGCAGCGGGTAAATTAATTTCGATTGAGAACACTCGTGCTTGGCTACATTGTATTTTATTAATTTTTAATGATGGCAACTGACATTCCTTAGTCTGATATTTAGCGGTGCAGCGGATGTTCCATTATCCGATGTTTAAAGCCAGGGCACAAAGGGCGGAGAAAACGGAACGAGCTCTTCATGTAGCCAGACCGGGGTCATATACCTGTTTGTGCTATACACAGCTTGTAAGGCACGTACAGCACGCCCGGCGCTTCGCGCTATAGGCCCATCTTCGTTACACCCAGGAAGCATCCGGCACGGGCGCCAATCTATGATGTGTCATGTCGCGTGCGATCAAATGACCATGTAATCGCCTGTTCTTTATTGACAGCGTGTATATCAAAAATATGTAATATCACATGCCCCTCTTTAAGAAGGAAAAGTGGTTTGTAGAAAAAAAGTGAGGAAAACGGACTGAGTTTACATGAAACGAAGACAATTTTTTTACAGAACACAAACACCAATTGTCGAAAAATAGTCACTTTTATTAATTAACGCTAATATATTTAGGATGCACTTATAAAACAATATGTCGTTGTGCTTTAGATTGTCCAGTTCACGAGCAACGCAATATTGGAACTTTTTGACAACGGCATCGGCTTGCCTGTGGAGACGATCGAGCGCGGGGGCGAGCTCAACCTTGTATTGCAGCGGTCGGATGCACCCGAGAAGTTCAACAGCGTGGTAAGTCGAGACAGACAGAACGAAAACTGGAGCCAAAGCGAGAACCTGAGACGGTGGCCCTTCTGTTTGAACGAGTGTGTTCAGTCAAAAATAAAAGTGTTGGGTTTTGTTCAAGACTGGATCGATATCTCTGATGCCAACAAGCAAGGATTCCCACATGCACAGAAGGCAGCGAAAGCAGTCACTTAATGTCTCTGTACACTTTTAGTTTCTCCACTTCGTCGCACCGAGCTTAATGCAAAGATTGTACAGGTATATGACCCCGGTCTGGCTAAATGAAGAGCTCGTTCCGTTTTCTCCGCCCTTTGTGCCCTGGCTTTAAACGTCGGATAATGGAACATCCGCTGCACCGCTAAATATCAGGCTAAGGAATGTCAGTTGCCATTATTAAAAATTAATAAAATACAATGTAGCCAAGCACGAGTGTTCTCAATCGAAATTAATTTACCCGCTGCATTTGAACACACAAAGAAGCACTATAGTCTTTGCCGCGAAGCCGACCTGCGGAAACTGCGTTTGGCCGTTCAGAGAGCGTGGGAGCGATTTCGATCACTTCTTGAGAAGATACAACAATAAAAAGGGAAAATCTCATCAAGCCAATTGAAAGTTCATATGATCGGCAGCAATAATAAAAAAAAATTGAACGAAATAATAAATGGCCTTTTTGGATAAAGTGGGTTCAAAATATCAATTAATTTCATTTTCGACGATATTTCAAATTTTATATTAAAAAATTCAGTGAAAATAAAATAAACAAAACTTATGCCCGTCGATAGCCCATGTATAGGGCTACACCTGCATAGTATTTAATAAGTTACAAATATAATAACTCATGAGCTACAAGGCTCTGAAGATGTCACCGGATTGTCAAAGAGGCGATGTTTGGCATTTTTTATCTCAATAAACAAAACTACAAAAGTATATTCCTTTGAACAAAAAAATAGTCGAGATAACATACAAGATCACAAAAAAATACTGTGAGTTTTGTATCCTTCCCGTGTTCATACCAGCGTACAGAACTGGGTAGAAAAATCATGGAGTAAAAAACAGATTTTCACCCTGCTCCACTCAATAATTCTTTGTGAAGCGAAATATTTTTTTTAAAAATCTTGAAAAGCGGTATTGTTCTTTCCAGAAATGGGGCAATTGCATATAGTTTTTAGAAAAAAATCGAAAGACCCACCCTGACAAGCGTGTTCGATTTCAAATGAAACCACCCTTGAAAGAACAAGTGGTTCAAACAGCCAGACATTACACGGTTAAGGAAAGATGCAACTCGGAGACACTTTCTTTTTGATATTCGCTCTAAAATAATAAAACCTTAGCTACTCATAAAGACCGGTTTTCTCTTTTCAAAACGATTTTATTAGTTGTAAAGTAGCTTCTAAAATTTTGTGTTCAGAGGCAAAAACAACTACATAAAGCAAGTATTTTCGAGCACAAATTTAGGCACACTCATTTCTTAAAATTAGCACGGTGCAATAGTTAATTTTGCTTCTTATGAAGTGTAGAGTGCAAGTAACTAGTCAAAACTGCGCAATTTTTAAATTTAGAAGAAAAAATGAAGAAGTCATAAAGCCTCATTTTTAGAAGCACTTTAGAGGTTATTTAAAATTAGCAAATATATAATTATGATATTGTAATTCCAAATAGTTACCTGCACTCTACGTGTCCTCAAGATAATGCATAACAAATTTCACTACATAGGGAAGACTTTAAGTACAGATAGTTGAGTGGAAACTGAGAAGACAACCTAAAGTTAGAAAACGAGAAAAATGCAATGCAAATTTCAAAAGACGAGTGTCCAGGAATCGTCCAGAGTCACTAGAACCACCCCTTCCCGTACACCGCGACTTTTCAGGCCCCTCTCGCGCCACGTGCCATCCGACACCGTCGCATTAGCGGCTCCTCCCACGTCAGCATTTCGGTCTTAGCGAGATTTTGGCTGGCAGTTTTTGTGGCAGCGGCATAAACTTCCTCGCGATGGTCAAGTCTCGCACTGGGGCCGAGAATCGCGCCGAAGCGTGGAAGTTTCCGATTTTCAAGATGATGGACGGCAAAACTTGAGCGAGCTTCACTTGTCCTAGATTCGTTTTGCGCTTACATCTCCATCTGGCGCAGCACGTTCTGACGTAAACGTCGAGGGAAAGAAGCCCACCTGAGGCACTCGCTTTTCTCTAACTGTAGTTGGAAGGACGGGGACAATCCCTCGCGTTTCCTATCTGCACTCGTGACAAGATGGGCAGATTGCTTCGCTCAGAAGTATCGTCAGCACACCCGTGTCGCGCACCAATGAACTTGCAGAGCCGTTGGCACCTCTTACGCAAATGTTTTCGAAGAACCCCCTCTTCTTTTCTAAAGCGGTGACACACGTGAACAGAGCACTGGTTGCATCGGAACAGTCGCCATTGCCGTGGTTAGGCTCAGCATGCCGTGGCAAACGTTCCTCAGCTGGCATTCTCCGCTCGCCTTTGCACCGCCTTTCTTAAAACTGGCGCTTGCTTCGGTTTTTTCAAACGTAAAAATCGAGCTTTTAGCGTTGTCTGCCACAAATCAAACCGAAAAAGAAAAAAAAAGAAAAGGGTCGTCGTTTTGAGCAAAACTTTCTCTAAGATGGCCGACATTCGAGTAAACTCGCAGTGTTTCGAGGCGCTGCAAGTTAGACAAGCATTTTACTAATTTCTTGCTGAATTAAAAAAAAAAAAAAAAACTGCGTACCTATGAAAATTATAAAGAATTACCTAAAAATAAAAAAAGTGAAATTTCCCAAATGAACTTGATTTTTAACTCGCATCTCCCCTCAATAAAAGCTCTCGTGCTTTCATGTTTTGTTACTGCCTAGTTTTTCTTAGGGAATGGATTAGGGAGCGTTGTTAAGCAGCAAGTGCACGCTCTACCATAGCCTCCTCCGTACTCACAAAGCCTGGCAGTTCGACGACGGAGCCATGGAGTGCCCGGCTGCAGATTTGGAGCGGAAGGATCTGGTAGCACAGAACATTTCTCGGGGAGCCTGTAGTCAGTGCACAGCTTTTGCAGCGGCGAGGACCCGAAACATGGTATTCAAACCCAAGAAAAGAAGCGATAGCCCGAGGAATGCGTGAAGCACGAGCAGACATTCCATCGCTCAGGACAGGTGTGTTTCGGCATCTCGCCGCACCGGGGCGCCCGTTACATGGCTCTTGTCTGCTACCTTTTCACTTTTGGCGGCCACGTCTCGTGGCAATCTGCCAGGCTTTGTCAGTATATAGGAAGCTATGGCTCTGCACATTTCTCTCGCATCACACAATTCCACTACTCCTTCAAAAGCATTTTTCGGAAATGCACAACACAGAAGGGACAAGTGCGGAGCCCAGGAAAATTTCTCGAGAAAACCCTGAAAAGGCTAAAGCAACCACGCGCAGAACAAGCCGCATCGGCGCTTCCCAAACCCCCTCCCCGGAGTGCAAGGAGTGCAGCTCACGTCCTGGTTGAAGATGCGTGCCCGGGCTTTCTCGTACTCTTCCTCTCGCTCCTCGATCGACTTGCTCCTCCTCGAGTCCGTCGACGACTGCCGTTCGGGGCTCTGCGGGGGCAGCCGGGCGCCACACTCACCACGCTGGGCCAACACCGGGCCGACATGGCACCCGCCGCAACTACAGTCCCCGGAGTGCGACTTCGACCAGAGTGTTTAGCGTCCCGTCCATCAAAAGCGGACCTCGAGCGGAAACGAACGACGTCGCAAAGGCTGGCGGATCACGTTGCCGGCAGGGAAAATCCCGAGGGGAGGAACGAGAGCGACAGAAGAGAGGAGAAAGAAAGCAAACTGAAGGTTATACTCCGTTTCACGATAACTTGTCGAACTGTGGAGACTGCAGCACCCGCGACCCAATAAGAGCATCGGAGCAAGTCACGGGAAACCACTCCATGGTCAAGGCCACAAAGGCCTCACTACTGCCACAGCAACAGCGCCGTCCATGAGAAAAAGTAGCGCTTGGTTTCGTCTTCTTTTGACGGTAATTAAACTCGAGTGTTTCCATATTTACTGAAAATATATAAAACAAGACAGGAATAAATATTGACGAATTTATGAGTTTCAAGTATATTTGAACCAAAAGAGTGATGCCAGATAAGTCTCCGGTCCCGACATGTTTCTCCTTGTAGCGCCTTGGCCGTAGGCGATCGCAGTTGTATAATCGACTGCTTCGGCTTCAAACATTGCCTGGCATCAGCACCTGCTACAGATTAGCGGGTAAATTGAGCCTATATTCGTCTCATGAACTGTTCCCGGAGAGCTTGCTGTTCTAGCGGACGGCAACGTTGCGGCAGTGGACGTTCATCTGAAGTTGGTTGATTTTGCAGCAGACGACAGCCGGTTCCTTGGTGCAGAGACACACACGCTCCCGTGAGTTGGTGCCATGTGCCTCGCTCCGATGCTCTTATTGGATTGCGGCCGCCGTAGGCTCCACAGTTCACCAAGTTATCGTAAAACGGAGGATAGGCGCGTTTGTTTTGCCGCAACGGGTTCAAGTTGCTCGAGTGCTTGTAAACTTTATTTTTATACAATGTGTGATTCTGGTGTTTCCCCGTAAAGTAAGCCAGAAAAGAGGGAGATGATGACCTTACGGGTGATGTTTTGCCGCTTCTTGGCGTACATTAAGGTTTCGGCAGTGATACGAGACCATCGGGACCGCGAACAGGGACCGCCAATGTCCGCGTCTATGCCCTGCCTTTTCCAAGCAGCTCCAATGAGCAAGGCCTTTCCTTTGAGGTTTTTATATTAACCCTACGGTTGCCACATGTCGAGATTCTAACAGTTGGTGCTGGAAGTCCCGGTAAAAAGCACGAGCAAACGCAACCGTCGTCACAGAGTTCCAACTCTTGGCTTCCAAAGCTGCCGCAGACTGTCCAGTTGGAGTGATCCGCAGCAGACCGGGCATCTGCTACGTCCAACACCGCCGGTGCAACACCGCAGGGATCACAAGCCGGCAATAGCGCGACACGTCTACGACGTCGTTGAGTGAAAATCGAGGGACCACTTTTTTGGACGCGGTAAACACGCTGGTCGAAGACGCCTTCCATGCACTGGCATGCAAGTGTGTACAATCACGAGACAAGGCGCTCGTGCCGCAGTCTCTCCGTTCAGCATAAGGTCGGTCTCACCACAACTTCCGCGTCTCTCGCTTTCTCGTCGGGTCTGGTTGGCCACGGAAGGTGACGTACGGGAACAGTCCGGGAGAGAAAAGAAAGGAGATGTCGAGAAGGTTCACTAAATGAAAAAAGGGTCTGCACGGCGCCCCGCACAAGCGATGTTGAAGGTCCGTGGCCAAACTAATCCGCCGAGAAAGCGACACGCGCGACGCGGTCGAGGGCGGTGGCCGGATTGATTTTATGCAGATCCGGGAAGCTACGGCATGAGCCCACGATACTGGTGCGTCTGCCAGTGGACGCGCGGCAAGGGCTGCGAAGCTCCGACGTAACAAAGTATAAAATATGCATGCTACAGTAGCTCTAGAAAAACATGTGCGAATCTACACTCCCTGCTCCGAGACTTCTCTTAAAATTGTGTACCATGTCTGAAATGTGTCTTTCGTTGGTATTTTCAACGTCCTATGCCACCCGTTCCCTCAAGCGTTCTAACAAAGAGAAGCCCGGTTGCAGAGTGCCGAATGCACGAAGGAATTCGTGGACCGCCACCGGTGTCACAATGACCCGAGATAACCCTCAGGCGAAGCAAAAGAAAATTAAGCGGACGACACTGGTTGCAGACACGAAGCCGTCACAAACAGACTCGACCGTTTTTCCAAATATTTCGAGCCTTTCCAATTTGCGAACCCGTGTCCCCGCCAGTATATTGCCGACTTTTATAGCCGATTCAAATCAAGCTAATCTGTAGGTGGCTCTCTTTTTCTGACTAAATGAAGGAATGCCACGGTTAGACTGAGCAGGAAAGCCCCTAAACTAGAAAGCATGGATAGCTGGCCCCACTCTTTGAAGCTCGAGCGCGGCGTAAGAGGGGAGGGGAAGGACTCGCCTCCTTGCCGTCCTCAAAAGAGGCGTTGTCCCGTTTGAGGATCGACTTTTTGGGCTCCTCGGAGAGCAGGTCATCACGGATCTGGTCCCTGAAGCGCATCTCGGGCAGCCGGGTGTTGCGTGTCTTGTTCACAATGACGGCGGTGCCGGCCTGGTCCACGTTGTGGTCCAGGCCAAAGTAGGCCGCCACCCGATGCACCAGCATCCGGTGGTACGAGCTCATCTGGGCAAACCGCAGCGACTGCCTCCTGCAAAGAAATACGAGATGGGGATCACAATCGCCGGGAGGGGAAATAAAGTTAAAAGCCGACCTATTTGGCGGTGGTTGTGCGCGATGAACAAAAACGGCGCAAAAGACAAGGAGAAAAGAGGAACGTACACCACGGGACAAGCGCTGTCCCGTCGTGTACGTTCCTCTTTTGTCTTCATCTTTCGCTCCAGAGGTATTCGCAGAATTGCAAGGAGGGACTTCGGTTGCCCCCAGCTTCCTACCTCCAACGACGGGCGTCTCACCTCACGCAACCAAAGCGGGGCACAAGGCACGTAGTGCGTGATCATTCCAAAGACATTCCCACGCTGTCGGCGACCCTCGGAGTCTCGGCACGGGGGCCACCGACGCTCCCCAAGGAGCCACAACCCAGAGGGACATTTGTGGACACTTGGCACATTTAGCAAACTCGCCAGGCACGTCAAACTCGGGAGGGTACACTAATGTGTGGCCCAAAAGGACAATTTCCTACAAGGTGAAAGAATCGGGCACCGGAGAAGAGAGAAGAAATAATAGCGCACATGAATTAAACCTACGCGGGATGTTCTGAAATGAATGCAAACAAAATGAGGCCGAACTTAGGGGGGAGATGTTGCCTCCGGTTGGCTATTGTTTTGGCTCGTTTTTGAAAACCCGCAGTGAGCAGTGCATACCTTAACCCCGGCAGTTTCTTTATTTTAGGCAATTATTGACTCTAAACTGCTTCTTTTTAATGTTTATTACACGCGCAGCCTGGGCCACACGCGTCTCTACCACTGATCATTATTTTTAATGATGTGTACAGTAAATAAAATACTGCACACGTGCTGTTATCTCTCGGCAGCGCCGCAAACAAAGCTTCGAACGAGGACAACCGAGGGGCGAGCGAGGGTGCGTGGACGAGCTACACTCGTCCTACACGGTCTGGGAACGGCTCTAGGTGGATGAGCTAGGCTCGTCCAAAACAGGTAATAAGTTAAAAGTCTCGCCGCCGAGGACCAACTGGAGTGCCTCTCGAATCGACATACCTTCCTAACCCTTTGAATGAACAGCAAGAGCGCTTGTTCCTCAAAAAATGATAAATATGCCAATGGTATTGCGGGCGCATCTTCAGGATCTACCTATTCGAGCTGCCTGGTCCATATACCTGAAAACAACTCAGGTATATGCCCATCGCCGATGCTGCGAACAGCACGGCATCAGCGATGGGCACCTACCTCCTAGAGGCCCCGAAGATACGCTTCGAGCTTCCCTGCAGGGGTCGCCAATCCTGGCGCTGGTTTTAGCAGACAATCTTCCAAAAGTTTTTATTGCGCTTCCTCCAGCGTGACGCGAGTCTCTGTAATGCACAATTTTCTAATGTTTTGACTTGCGTGTCACCTTGAACTTAAATGTGCCGCAGTGACCCGCTTGGCACTCATCGTTGTACGGAGATGGTCGGTCAAGGTGCCGCCAGGGCCACATCCTCGTGTTTGTCACGTTGCACCATCCATTGGCAGCGTGCAGACATAGGCTAGATTCGTCCGCTAATACCACCGTCCTGCGATCACCCAGGCTCAGCAGTGTCGGTAGCGTTCCTCGTCCCGAGTTAATGTAAAGAACTTATTTTGTGACATTTTGTTTATGCCGGTGCGCATCGGCAACTCAAAAGCACGACATGGGAGTATTTCTAGAGCATAGCTCTCACGCCATTGCTCGCTAGTGAACTAAGTGTCGTCGTGCACCTGCCCAAACACAAGGTAAACATGGGAAAACTGGAAGTATATCTCTCCCCTTGTCAAGGCAGCCGAAAGTGGCACAAACGAATGGTATTGTTACGAAACAATGGCAACAAGTAGTAACTTTATGCCTCAACCCACCATTGAAGAATGCAAAGAGAGGTGCGTTAAACATAATTATTGTTGCAATTCGTGCAGAATGGTCCATTAGGGATAGCTGCATTTCTTCCTCGTACCACCGAATTTCCCACGCTACAAAACTGGAATATCCAAAGGACAAGCAGCTTATAAAATATTTTTCTAAATTTTTCTTAAAAGAGAAAGCCCATCTGGTACAAATGCTGATCAATTATGAAATGAAGGCTTTTAAAAATGAAATTCGTAAAAAAAAATATGAAGTTGAGAAAATCCCAGCTTGAAAGTTCGCACAATTTTCTTTTACGTGCACAATCAATCTGAGTAACACTTTCATGGGTCCTTTATGACAAGAAAGAAAAGCGCCTTACTAATTTTCGAGCACGGGCCTTTGTACAATGTGACTTATGACACCGTACCTATGAGCAAAAAGCAACGTAGCCATTAATTGCGGTCGAGAAACATAGCACTCAATGTTTACGAATTTGACTTTTGAAAGTGGGAAGCTCATATTAGACCTCACGACGTCGAAAGCGAGCATTCGGCAAACCCCGACACAAGTCGGTGCAGCGAGAGGGCAGCCAAGGCCATTCTATCGACAGTCTTTTTCAGTTTCGTAACTCGAAGTCTCCCAACAGCACCGACTCAGACTCGCGGAAATTGTCTCCGTACGCGAGTTCGCCGCATCCGTCCCCGCCGGGACAACAACAGGCAAAGGCACGACGCAAACGCGACGTCGTCGGGCAGACGACGAGGGACCGCGAACGGGGATGTGAGGAATGCGCCGATCAGACGCGTTCAGGATGCTGCGCAGGGCCGCCGCTCACTTGTTGTCCCTGACGAGGGAGAGCAGGTCCTGCTCGATCTTCAGCATCATCACCCGGTCCTTGTGGTTCTTGTGCAGCGTGTCCACGATGAACTGCTCCAGGTCCACCCCCGTCGAGTCCGTGTACGTCTCCGTGCTCGAGTCTGGAAGCAGACGTGCGTGACACGCCATTCCCCTCAAACCCGCTCCCCAACCCTGTTCCCCCGGCAGCCGACTCAACCTTCGCAGGGGTGCCGCAAAAGGGTCCTTCGCGACAGCTCCACGTCGGACGTGCCGCCCAGACTGGACGGACGTCCACCTTGGTAGCAACAAATTCCGCTTGCCGTAAACTCCCGGACAAACGTCTGCCCCTCTCAGTTTTGGAAATAAGTACCCGCGGCAGAAAAGTGCCGGAACGTCGCCTATCCCACCCCCCTGACCACCACCCTATCGACGGGACCTACTGAAGACAGGCTAGATTCAGTGGAAATGCTTGCTGCACCTTCCATGAGACTGCTCAAACTTCTATTTACCGCTACGCCCTGTTGTGAAATGCAACAACTGCTTTCCCTAGGCTTTTTAACTTGTGGTGGCACCTTGTCTTTATCTTAACCTGGAAACGGCGGCAAACGTGCGCGGCTCGCGGGTGAGGTCTGCCACCCAATGTATGTGATGATTCACGCGCGTCCTTCTTTTCAACTATTATTAGCGATCGCTGGCACGGGTGCATTCATTCTTTTTATCGCAAATTATACGTGGAAATATGTATATTGACCAGGATCCATAGCCAGTGGCTTGTCGTAGATCCTTTCGAGAGAAATACAATATGAATATACAATTCGGTGCACGTGCAAAAGATACAAAATAAAACGCTCAATTTTTTTGAAGGTTGAAATTCTATACACTCAACATATCTACAAACATAACTCACACACATGATTACCTAAAACCACTAATAATATACAATAACACAATCTGTGCACCTTCATAAGAAATAGATATCACACAATCCAAACACACAAGACGCCATTCTAGTTTCACACTTATACGTGTAAATATCCACTTTTTGAAAATTCCATTACACATCAAATACATTTCCCCACTTCGAGCTTGCCAATGTAAAAAAAATTCTCAAGGGCGGCGACTTTATTACGAGAAGGAAAAATAGACTCCCGTTCCGTTACCAGGACTCGCGCATACACGGACACCGGCACACGCCACAAACAATCGCTGGAACTTTCAGAAGTGCCGAAACGTTGAGTCCACTCACCCCTGGAAAGGCTGGGAGAGGAGCCCTCCAGGCTCCCCTGGGAGCTGCTGCCTCCCTGTTTGCTGAGACGGCCAGACTTTCCTCCGGGCGAGGGACCCCCCTTGCCTCCCTGGGCACCAAGGAAGGGGCTTCAGGGCGGAGCACCGCCTCCCACCAAGCCCCCCCGACAAACAGACCGACCAGCCACCCTTGCTACAAACCGGCGGCAGGCAAAGCACCCAACGACGAAGCCGCAATTCACGTCGGTAGACGCTGAGCGTTACCTCGTCTGCTAGAGGACCCGTGCCCAAACGATAAGACGTAGATGCATTAAAAAGCAGCGGCGTAATTCGCCCAAGGGTCTGTTAAGACAGCACGGGTAGAAAACCCACAAAGTGCATATAGTCAAAACCCGACACGTATTAAGCGACACGTTTCGTGGGAGCCTTGCGAGTGGTCAAGGTCGAGCTAGTGACTGACGAGGCGCGTTAGAGATCAAATGGCCGTTCCTTGGGACTTCGAAACATCGCTAGAAATTCCCTAGGGGAAGCTGCGACAGGAGAACCCGTAAAAGGATTAACTCCGTACTGTACTAGTACCTGTACGCAACGCACATTAAACACCTAGAGCCACTTCAAAGAATAGATCTTTTGTTAGGCGCAACTAAAGCCTACGCTGAGGAACGAGTGTTAGAAATCCCCGATAACTCCCTTTGTGCATTTCCTCATCTTCAAAACATGGAGCCCCTTGCTCGTGACATTTTTCACAAAAGTCTGACTAGTGGACAAAACTGGGCCCACTGCTTCAAAAATTCAATGTGGTTCTCGACCTTCTTGGTCAAAAAAGCCCCCATGAGCCTGAGTTGAGCCGAGAAGGCTGCTTAGAACAACCCCACGGATGAGAGCTGTGAGGGGGGGTCAAGCAAGTGTTGAGTTGGGAACAAATTTTGGAGTAGAAAAATCTCGTTCTGGAGGACCTTCGTAAAAGTAAAAAATTGTGTTTTGGAGTAGCTTTGCAGCAGCACATGTGTAAGATTGGAGCAATTCGGTGCCGTTCCCCATTAGTGATGCCGGTATAAATTTATGCAATCAGCTGCGCAACGCCCATTAAAAGCCCGAGGTTACCAGTTATACTGTACCTGTCAAATTGCCCTTCGATTGTGCCAAGCCATAAACTTGGTCAAATTCATATTTTGTTTCCACTAGTGCTAGCGGACAAATGAAGCAGGGTTGATGTAAGCGTGCTATCACCATAGAGAAGTCGGTGTAGGGTACCAATTGCGGTTAAGCACCAAAATAATTTGGAACTTAACCCCAATAAGACCAAGGTTGTTTCCTATACCCATCAGACAAGCTGCACTAAATACCCGTACACCATGTTAGGTTTAGCTATCGCGAGGTCAGATACTATTCGTGACCTGGGACTGCCGTTTGATTCCTGCCTCTTGTTTACAGAGCACGTCTTGAAGATTGCCAGTGACGCTTATCAGGTGCTAAACTTTATTTCCCGAATGACGCAGAATTTTCGTACTCACGCTAGCATGATCCATCTATTTCACGCTCTTGTTTTATCCAAACTGGAGTTTTGCTCAGTCGTATGGAACACCATTGGAACGATGCAATCGTGTATTTTAGAGAAAGTGCAGCGTCTTTTTGTATGTATTGTTTATGACAGATGGATGGGAGGCACATCTGTTTTGATTATGAGTACCTGCTTAATCTTCTTGATCTTATAGCCTGTACAAAAGAAGATTAATGCGAGACTTCATTATTTTGCATAAGATAATGAATGCCATGCTCGATGCACCCTTGCTTTTAAGTTTGACTTCTTTTTGTGTCCCTCAGAAGCGTAGAAGATTTTCATTTATTTTTCAACCGCAGAAAGTTGGTGTACAGTCCCCAACGTCACGCCTACAGCTCCTTCACAAAGACGTTGGGAGTGACTTAGACTTGTTTTCACCCCTCATAACTTTTAAACGAGCCTTGTTGGCCACTTGACAAACAGCCATGGTCTGTTGTTTTATCCAGTTTCGTTTATTTACCTTTACCTTTCTCTACTATGTCCTACTTGTTTGTGATTGTAATATGAGCACACTATGAAGGCCTCGAGCTGTTTGTGGGCACATTAAGCGGAATAAATGCAATTCAACCCTCTCTCGATAAGAGAGAGATAAATTAGCACTATACAAAGTCTTCTCAGGTGGCACAAAAATCAGCTGATCTGGACCTCATAACTCCTAAAGACAACATGCTGTGTCACAAGCACTTTATTTACGATGACACTTGCAACAATCTCTCACTGTTTAGACAATCAATGTCTGATTGCTTTGCTTTTCCTCGGTTGTTATAGTGATCTAGTTACCCGAAAATCCAAGTTAGTAGACAAAATATTCTTGGTTCCCCAATGTACAAATGCTTTAACGGTTAGTACAATCAAGGAATCACATTATTTGACACAAAAAAAATGCAACTGTTTGTAACCAAGCAGTCCCGACTGAGCACGCTAACGGAATGGGAACCATGTGCGAGCACATTTCTATAAATAGTGCCACAGTTCTGAACATAGGCACGCAGAAAAAGATATTTACTTGAGCTTGTTAAGCTTTAGTAGTTTGTTTTGAAATCCAACTAAGTCTGATAAAAGCGTGCAGCGTTAGGAACGTCGAGAAAATTGGTGCGAAAGAATGCCGCAGAGCCGGAAACCTGGATTGGAATGTAATGGCCAAACCCCACTAGATTCCCACAGTTGCCAGATGCAAAAGAAAAACACTTCCAAAAATAAATTTGTTCGCAGATTCCTTCGGTTTGGCACAGTTTGCCGCAATTTTTCCCTTTGGGCGCAGCAAGGTGCAAACAAGCGGGAATTTATCAAAAAGGCGCAACTGGACCACTCCTGAAGCTGCGCATGGCCCGGACCAACTTTTACAATAGCTAGTGCTCCCATACGCTAGCCCAGGCGAGTTAAACTTGGGCAAGCCATGTCGACGCATTCGTGTTGAGCGCCTTTTGCGTTTGTGACCTGGCCACATGCACCGGTCCGTCTCGTGCCAACAGAAAGAAGCAGTCTCGCAGTCGAGTACTCTAGCACCTCCCCAGGGTGTCGGTTAGTGCACCAAGAAGAGTTAGGAAGGTGGCCAGCACATGGCGACTGAGCCTGCAGCATTGGGCCGAGCAAAATCGCAAGAAGTATGCGGAGAGAGAAGAGAGGGAGGGCAAAGAGAGCGGAGGGCAAGTGGACGGGGGCGGAGGGGCGCCCGGGGATTGAACCGTACGCTGCACCATCGAGACGAGTTCGGGAGCGCCAGGAGCGGGGCTTGATAAAACGTAGGAGCCACCGGGCCAGTGTCTCGAAACGTCTTGTTTCAGCGCACAGGCCAATTACAAGATTGCAACTTCGGGGCAGATACACCAATTCTTGACGCAAAAGCACGGTGGTGTTTTCTTACGCCCCATACGACGTGGTACCCCGAATTTGCTACTTAAGGGAGACGCAAATAAAAAAGCAAAAAAGAAGTTTTTTGTGTCAATCGACGCTGGCAGTGCCACCACCCTGAATTACCATTAGAAAATCTATAATTTTATTTTTACTTCCACGTCGAGACGGGAGTCGTGCGCACGGAGGTTCCGTCCCCGGGGGTCGAGAGGGGAAGGAGCGCACCTGCACGGAGAGCATCTGGGGGCTGGGTGCTGCCGGGCCGACCTCGCCGGGAAAGTCCAGGGGTGGCGAGGCATCGTCCCGCACCGCGTGGCTGCGCACTAGCACCTTGAGCCGCTGGCGGAACGGGGGGGGGGGGCAGAGAGAAAGAGAGAGAGGGCTACCCAGAGGCACCACCACAAGCCCAGAGAGACAGCCCGGCACTGAAGGGAAAGGTTAGCCAGCAGAGAGCCCCAGTTCAGACAGACAGAAGTGCACGCGTTGCCGTCGTCCAGATTCCAAAGATGACGCGTCACTAGCAGGTTAGCTCCTCTAGTGCAGCGGGCATAGACCCAATAATAGGCACCCACGAATGCCCCTTTTTAATCTTGGCCTGAACTCTACGAGGTTGTGGCATACAAACGCCCAGTAGGAAAGGGTCATGACATTAGTGGTTCATTTGCACACTAAGAACATGTTGACTACAACATTGTTAAGCGATGGAGTCATAGTTTGTCCCGTATTCAGTACATGGGTCCTAACACAGTCTGTTGCTTACAGAGCGGCTAAGCAAGGACACCACTGGGTAGTTACCACCACAGAGAAGGTGCATTTTAACACTCCTTAAACGAGCAAGCATACACACCGAACCCGGACTGTCCTGAAATCAGGAAGCTGCCATAAACTGCTGCATTGGGCCAGGAAACCAATGTGAGTCAGATTTAATCAACTCTTTAGTGGGGGGATCCAGATCCGTCCGTTTTTTTTTATTGTTCCCCATCTCAGGGTCTACAAGATGCCCGCAATGACGCTTACTGCATCAAAGGCAATGCTAACCAGGATTTGGGTCAGAGATGGAACGTGCGTAGGCGATCCAAGCTATGGGGCATGCCAAAAGTTCTTCGCCGCTTCCAAACCGGGAGCCGGCGTCCCATTGCGAGGTCCGTAGCGCTCCCAGGGGCTCACCTGCTGCGAGCTCCGCGAAGAAGTGGCGGTGGAGGCCGGAGACGAGACGCCATCCTCCTCCCCGCCGTCCTCCGGCACGGCCTCAACCGGCCCCGAGCCGTTGGGCGGCTCTTCTGGCTCTCGGTCCAGCCGTATCGTGACGGGGGCCGCAGCCGGGGCAGGCGGCCGCTGCGGTCGCTCTTCCTCGTCCACCTCGCGCTGCTTGGCCAGGCGCACGACCGCGGGGGCGGGGCGCGGAGGGGGCGGCCCCTCCTCCGCGGGGGGAGGGGCCACCGCACTCCCGGGGGGGGACGCCCCCCCGCCCGCACCGCATCCGCTCTGGACCACGATGCTCGGAACTGTGGGGTAAAGGTGCCCAGAATGCGTCACTGACCGGTGTCTGGCGTCTTACCAGCCGCGAACCAAAAATGAAAACGCGGTAAATGCACCGGTCGGGGGCGCATTCCAGGCGTTGCTCCGGAAGGGCGGTGAGTCCCTTCCTAACTCGGACCACTGTTCCTGGCACGACAGCCCTTTCTGGTCTTTCGTAGGACCTCGCTGGATGCAAATGTACCGCACCAAACCCTCTAATGCACCCTGCACGACGCAGTGGCAGCTCGTGCCAAAGATTCAAACATTTTCCATTCAGTGCCGACTCCTGCCAATTTCAATACGAAGGAAGTGTCGCACCAATGTGCCTTCAAATAATCGAGACTGTGCGATGCACGCTAAAGACTGAGAATTAAAGGAAGATGTGGCCCCGAACCTTTTTATATATATATATATATATATTTTATTTTGAATAATGAAACTAACTATTTATAATTTTGTCTTCTCTTTTCAAAACAGTCGCTAGATTTAATGTAGCTTGCCTTTTGTGTTCAGAGGGAAAAACAACTGCTTGAAAAAGGCTTTTTGTGTGCAAATTTTGACACATTAAATTTTCATAAGAAGCACGATGTAATAGCTTATTTTGCTTTTTATGAAGTGTAGGGTGCTAGAAACTAGCCAAAATTTCTGATCTAGAAGAAAAAAATACTTCACAAAGCCTATTTTTAAAGCTTTTTAAAAGTCAGTTAAAATTAGCAAGAACGCAATTAAGATATTGAGATACCAAATACATACCTGCACTCTACATCTCCTCAAGGTAATACATAAAAAATATCATTATCAAGGGAAGATCCTAAGTACCGAGAACTGAGTGCACAAACTTAAAAGACGAACCAAAGTCGCGAAAAAAGAGAAATAGGGGGATCGGTGACCGAGTAGGCTAGCGCACACCGGCTCGGAGCACGTGGAGCGAAAGCTCACGCTGCACAACCCAGGGATCCTGGGTTCAATCCCCCACCCCTGCCCGTTTCGATCTGGATGAGCATCGTACCGGCGTGCGGTCGTGTATCACTACTGCGTGGTGCACGTTAAAAGACCCCAGGCTAGCGGTTGTACTGCACTGGCTAAATTGCTCATCTACAGCGAGCGACTCGTCACAACTTTGGAATTGCTGACCAACTACACGCTGTCTAAATATCCACACAACCCCAATTATTAACGAGTAAACTAAGTTCCAAAGTTGAAAAGATGCATAGTACTCCTCATGAATCGGCTGCCATCGCATAAAAGTGAGACAGAACTAGGGCGGGCTGCCCAGGAATCATCCAAAGTCACCAAAACCGTCCCTCACTGTTTGTTGCTAATTCCCCGCCTCCTCTCGCGCCTTTCATTTCTCGGGCCTCCCTGGATTGAAATTGCCTTCTTCCACTTACACTTCCTATAACCAACACTAGCGATTTTAAAACAGCAATCGCTAATATCTTAACAGATATTCCGTAGCATTTGTTCATAGCATATTTTACAGCCGAGCTGTTAAGGGCTAGTTTCCCCAGGATCGTGTACCCCGCAAAGAAATGAAGACATCGAACTCTAGACACCCACCGCCATCTATGAGCCGCGGCGGCAAGCCACGTATCTGGTTGCCGCCGTCGCTCGTAGATGGCGGCAGCCTTTCCACTCTGGCTTGCCGACTTGCAACCGGCCATTACTTTCCATTGTACAGCTCCGCTGGTCTTCCTTCTTCATCAGAGTGGAAAGGCTGAAAGATTTTGCCCGTTCGTTCATGTTTGATCTGTTTATCTATTGCAGACACTTTCCTCTACAATGCCCTTGGGCCCCGAGAAAATAATGCGGAAAATGGAATGTGCTATCAAATACCGTTACATTAGCTGCACCTTTCACGCCGGCATTTTGGTCATTCCGCAGCTGGTGGTTTTCGTGGCAGCTGCATAAACTATATTGCTAGCAAAGGTCTCGCGCTGGATTGCCGTCAGCAGAACCAGACTCACGCAGAAGTGCGGAAGTTTACGGCTTTCAAGTGGACGAATGGCAAAACGTGTGCGCAGATTTGCTTTGCGCTCGTGTATCCATCCAACACGGCACGTTTTGAGGCAGACATCGAAAGAACCAACCAGCTCGGGTAATTCGAGGGACAGTGAAAATCCCTCGCATTTCCCGGCCGACCCTCGGACGCGTAGAGAATCTGCACTCGTGACAGGTGGGGCAGATTGCGTCATTCGGAAGTATCATCAGCACACCCATGTTGCACATCACTCAACTTGCAGAGCCCAATGCCACTTTTTAGAGTGCAGCTCTTAGGCGCCCGTTTCCGGATTGAGCGGCGTCACCGTCAGCGTAACCACGCGTCGCATTATGGAAACTGTCCCATAATAACTCACATGTGACGTCTTCCATAATAACTCACATGTGACGTCACGACGGTTACGAGTGACGACACGAAAGACACCTGTGAAGGTTACAACGGAAGTCACAAGTGACGTCACGAAAGACGCTTGTGAAGGTTACAACAAAAGTTACGACCTTCAAAAAGCAGGTCATGAGAAGCTCACAACCTTCATGTGACCTTCACGACCTTCACGAGTGACGTCAGGGGGGTCACGAGTGACATCACCGTTGACGTCACGAGGAGAAAGCAAGAGAGGGGTAAGAGGAGGAGAGGAGGAGGGTCAGAGGAGGAGGAGGGGCATACCCTCCTCTCTGTACCCTCCCCTCCTCATCTCAAGAGCTGCGCTCCAATTCGGCATTACAGAGTTGTAAATGTATCATTTTTTTTTGTAAACTTTTTCGAAGAACCTTATCCTCTTTTCTGAAGCGCCGACACACATGAGCGCAGCGCCGATTGCATTGGAACAGTTGCCGTTGCCATGGTTAGGCTTAGGACGTCGCAACAAAGGCTCCTTCGCTAGCGTTCCCTACTTGCCTTTGCGCCACCTATCTTGAAACTTGCGCGTGCTTCGATAATTCCAAAAGCAAATGTCGCATGTTTTAGTGTAGTCTATCGCAAATCATATCGGAGAAACATAGAACGTGTCGCTGTCCTGAGTGACAGCTGAGTGACAGCCTCAAAGATGACTAATATTCGCATAAACTTGCCATGCTTTGAGCCACCGCGAGTTACACATTTTTTACCAATTCTTCATCAGAATTTTGCACTTTTTTTAATCAAGAAAGTAGGATGTCTGAAGACAATAAAACGAGCAAAATAAAAAAATAAAAACTTTCCAGGATATTTTTTTTCTGCATTTTTTTTTTTAATTATTTTACAACACTAACCAAATTTCCCTTCTTCAGTGGAGGCATGGCTTCAAAGTTCGGTAAACATCTATGAAATCAATTTGACTTTTCATGCCAAATGGTGCGAAATCCTCCATGTTTTTATTCTTTCCAAGTGTTCCAAAATCAGGCATTTTCATAAAATTTGGCTAAGGTCATTTCATAGGATGCTGTTTCCTAAACATGCAGATATGAAAACTATCTTTTTATCTGCAGTTTGCGAAATATGCCCCAAGGTATGCCCCTCATGCAATAAAAGCGTGACGTGCCAATTGAGAAAAAAAATAAAAGTGCCTCTAAAGTACCCACAAAGATCAATATTTTCATGATTTCTGTCAGATATTGTTGATTTATATTTTCAAATGATTACTCCAGTTGTGAGTCAGCACTTCATATGTCGAACCATCTCTTGGGTTTTCGTCTATATGCCTGTGCATCACCGCATACAAAATAGACCAACTTGGTAGGATGAGGGTGGCCCCGGCCCAGCAAGACTCACTTTCAGACTTGGCCATAGATTCTCTGGAAGAATCCAGGCTGGACTAGTCCAGGGCAGCCATAGGCAGCTCCTCCTGTCCACAAGAGAAACAAAGAGGCTACTCACCACTCACTCAAAAGAACGGCCGTTGGGACCAAATTCTGGGGAAGCAGAACAAACAATGTCGAAGCAGAACAAAAGCAAGTGGCGTCGAGGAAATCTGGTAGCAGGAGCATTGCAACGAGAGACGCACTCACAAATGTGCACTGAATGTTTTGTTTCAAAATTGCTGTTTTTTTTTGTACCGCTGCTTTTGTATAGATTTATGCGGGATCGAAAAAAAGGTCATTTCGAATCCTCAGTCACAGCAGAACAGTATAATCTATGACGACATCCTGAACAAAAGGGGTTGTTTTGCTGTGCTTGGGATTTTTTTTTGTGTAGGCGGTTGTACACGGTGAGAAATATGCGGTAGTTATTCTGTTGCGGACGTCTTTGCAGTTCCACAGGAGGGCAACTAGGCCAGTACAATATTTTGCCTCGTAGCAATAAATATTTTCTTGTTTTCATCTTTGTATGCGATTTGCTCTCCGTGATTAATGAAACATCATTTATTGACAATAAATAAAATTGCTCTTGTGTTTTGAAGGCTTTGCTGAAGGATCTCTCCATCCTCATTTGTAACTCACGCAGTGAGGTACACCCAGGGGTGTGCGGCCAGTCTTGTATGCTTTGCAAGTGAACTCAAGTACATACCTTGCGCGTGAGAACGTCAAAACAATATCTCGAAACACACTAAAAATGAAAGTGGGCCTCGCTAATAAATGGGATAAATGAGAAACGCGCTGGCAAGGCAACCGAGCACGTACTAGTATTTTTTTTTTGACTGAAGTGAAACAATAAGTGAATGCATTGCCACACGCGTCGCCGAGCGAGCGCGTGCGTGACTGAATGGTTACCGTGCTTGGCTGTCGTGTGGAGGATCCGGGCTCTATTCCAGGGAACGGAATGTACTTCTATTTATTCTATCTACTTGGCGTTCTCGTAAGTTCTAGAACCTTCTAGTCTGATTGAGTTATGAATATTCTACATGCCAAACTTTCTAGGCCGAATAGTCCAAAGGCACACGCGGGTACAAAAGCTGCTCCGCGTGGCGAGCCGGAGTCAGTCTCGCTCCAACGCTCAATCCTGCTGTCACGCCGCTATCGACGCCTGCGACGATAGCCTTTTTCTACTTTGTTGTGGGCACAAGTTCACCCCATTAAACTTTGTTGTTTCAGTTTTCGTCGTCTCATCAATTGTCATTCGTGACAATATGCACGAGGCACGTAAATAGCAGACGTAGTATATTCCTCTGCGCGCATGTGCACAGTTGCAGGTAATATTCGATGCTTATAAAATGCGTACGAAGTAAACCAAGCTGCTGGTTTGGCAAAATGATCAGTAATGCTAAAAATTACCAAAAAGTCCAGGTTTTGCATGCATTATGGTGTCTTTTCTTTGCCTAACTCGAGCGATGCTGAGTGTGCAATTGCACTTAATTCAAGATACTAAAAAGGTTCAGTAGGATATACACTAAGGATTGCGAGCCTTACGGGTGCGTGCCCAACCGATGCTCAAAGTGACAGCACGAGCTTCCGATCACAACGCAGTCCTTGCCCACGAAACTCCATTTACACGCAGAGAGAGGTGAATTCTACCGTGTACCTGCTCTCAGCTTTTGCTGCAACAAACGGGTAAACTCAATATATTTTTGCAGTGCATGGCTCGAAATACTCAAAAACTACATTGGCTTTTTTTTATTTGTTCGCGTTTAGCGGAATTGGAGAAAGCTTGTCTTCACACCTGAGCGATTTTAACTCTGCTCGTGTTATTACATTTGCCGATCGAGACGGCTTCCCGTGCTTACAACTCCAACAAAGGTACACAGATGCTAGCTTCTTCACATCAAAAAAAAAAAAAACGGTCTTCATATTTGAAAACAAAAAAAAATTATCTAGTCCACCATGTGCAATAGCAAACAATTATGGCCCGGCACGCAGGCGTACGCCTTGCGGGCCTCGCACAAACATGGGGGGGGGGGGGGGGGGGGGGCGTGGCGTGGAAGAAGGGCAAGGAGGATTGCCCTGAATGGAAAGGAGGAAAACATGGGGGGAGGAGGAATTGCACTGCCTTTCAGTATATGGGGGGCTCACCTCAGTGCAGGGGTGGTGCCTTGCCCGGCGGCAGTGGGGCCTTCTGGAAGGCCATCCCCAGCAGCAGGGGACACCCCCTCGGCTCCGCCTCCCTGCAGGGGCCACAGAGGTCACAAGGCGGTCGCTACGCTTGGGGTGTTTCCTTTTCCAAGAGACACTTCATTTTCGAGTGCAACTCAAATTTACCCCATTTATTCCGGTAATATGCGTGGTTGCGTACTCCCCAATCGACATATTAAAATTTTTTATTAGGTTGGGTAAACTAAGGCTTCATACAGGCCCCAGCAAGTCACAGACTTTCTACATTTTCGGATTTCATTTCTGTTGAAATTTAGATGGTGTTTTTCTGAGTTTGTTTTCTTTATTGTAATTTTGGCACTCACCGGTTCTTACTTCCATTAAATTACCATTTCTCCGCAAATAAGGAATAAGGATGAATAAAGAAAAATATTACCCTCGCATAAATGCATCCAAAAAAACAGAAAGCCATTTTAAATGGGAGCCATACTAGCTAGAAGACAGCCCTATATGTGTCAAAGGGACTTACCTAAGGTGAATTAGGGCTCGTAGTAAACAATTTAAAAACAGCTGACTCTGCGTTTCACCGCTGATAAGCCTCTTTAGAACATTTGCATTGCAGACACAAAGAACTACAAGCCTCAGTGTACAGTGCAGCGGACACATTGGCCCCTGGAGAAAGCACAGCCTCCATTCGCGAGTTTTGGCTCTCCTAAGACCACTGCCTCCCATCCATGTAAGGCCAAAAACCTGAACAGTGGCTGCACAGAAGCTTTGAAGAGCTACTGTCGTTGCCCAGAAATACAGCAACATTGATACGTCGTTCCGAGTGGACGCTGTCGGCCCTTCGTCAATCGTGCAATGTCAAAAGAGAGACTGCGATAGCCTCTCCTTACGAACACTGACCCAGCACTCGATCGCGACTATGGTCAAGTATCTTCGATTTTTATTTGTCGCCGTGATCTCGATTATAGGAATGTTTCTGATAAATTCAAATTTAGAAATTCTATCGCTGATCTTTCGTCGGATTGATCCCCGAAAGCACTGTGCCCTAGTCACGGACTCAAAAAACTGGCAATCATTCACTCCACACACGATGTAGACAAAACAAAATGCATTACCACGGCATAGAATGGGCACATTGGTTCACCTAATATAACATCAACTGTCACGAGTGAAAGTTACCCAAGCGTGAGTCAGTACAAAAACAAATATGGCACAAGACAAAGATGGCATTCTTTGCTGTTAAGATTAGGAGTTGGCTTGTCAAGCGAAAGAGAACAATGTAACTTAATGCTACAGGGAAGGTAGGGAGCCGTAGAATGCCCAGCGCATTTTGAGTTGCACCAAACACGCTGCATATTGTGTGGCACATTCTTCAGAGGCTCAGGAGTCATGCTAAACTCAGGGGAGTGTAACGGCACTAAATTTGGCGGCACGCAATACTTTTGCAGCAGTTTTTGTGACACTTTTCGTGGCACTGCTTTCCTTGCCTATCCCAGCCCTTAACCCACTCTGCGTTAAAAAGAGGAGAAAGCCCACCTTGGCACGACGGTTAACATAGCTCACTCAATTACAGTCCTTAAAGGGGCCCTGGAGTCATATTTAAGCATCTACCTTTTTTGCTGTTTCCACATCCCTCAGGGTTCGGGGAAGCCAGCGGGCACAGGGAGAGTAACTAAATATCAGCGCGTCATATTTTAACTGGACGACACGGAAACCTCCTCCACCGACGGGGGAGACCCGCGGTGCAAAGAGCGTGCGATATGTGACGTCTTTGGTCCTGGGCTTACTACTGGTCAGCGCCACTAAAAGCTTCTTTTTAGTCGAAATACAAAATATAAGTGGCACGAACCGTTTCAATTATTTATAAAAGTAGTTTTTGTTCACTATTTTAGATCAGAAAAGAAACAAATGCAGTTAGAAAGTACAGAAGCAAGAAATGACCCGTCGAAATACCCGCCACCAAGCGGTGGAAAAGGTGGCGCATACTAGAAAGGAGTAGTGGGATCAGGCACCAACGAGCGGCGAGCGTAGAAAAGTGCCATTTGTACGCAGCGGCGCATGCCAAATTGAAGCATGTGGGAAGATGCGTTTTTGTAATCTGCATGCAAAGATATCTTATGCAATCTTGTGTGCAGCAAGGACGAGGACACAAGGTAAGAACAGGACACAAGGAGGCGCAACTCTCAATTGATTATTATTGAATACGTGCACCGGTATTTGTAGTCTGAACCATCCTCCCAAAAGAAAATACAACAACAAACAAAACAACAAAAACAAAGAAACAACCATCACACAGCATGATTAGGAAAAACACAATCCCGTTCTCAGGATAACCAGTTCCTTCTCCGATAACGCAATCGAAGGCTTAGCAACACACGTGTCTCCTACATAATCAATGTGTTCGGCTTCTACAACTTTGCGTGCTAACATAGACTTGCATTTTCTAATTTTTACGCATCCATCAAACAGTGGTGCACATCCGCATGCCCTGCAATGTAAGTCAAGAAAGCCACTGTTTTGTTTTTGCGCATTGTTACTATGCTCGCGAAGCCGAACCTTCAGGCAGCGCCCCGTCTGCCCGACGTAGTGTCCGCCAGAGGACAATGGAATGCGATAAACACCACAATCTGTACAGTCGACAAATTTCGTTCTGTGCTTCTTTTCACATCCGTGTTTGGCACGCACGCCAAACTTTGATAGTTTGCACAGGTCCATGAGCTTATTGGGTGCAGAAAACACTACCTTAAATTGGGCGACACTCGAAGTATATATGGAATCACAACAACTTTTCCTTTTTGTCTTATTGGCTGGCTCCCATTGTTTTCCATGAGACAGCGCTTTCTTAGAAGCCCTTCCACGACCGCAAAAAGAATGTGTTTGGGGCACCCAGCTGCGAGCAACCGCAAAGCTTGCTGTTCAAAACCAGTGGGGATCATATGCTCACGGGACTTTTTTTTAGTGCACTGGTGGAAGACAGGTTACCAATACTACTTTCGACTAGCTTGGAGTACGCTGAATAAAACTAAAGCAATGGCTTATTCGCACGGGGCTCGTAACACCAACAGCACTGTCTCGAGGAAAACAATGGGAGCCAGCTGGCAAGACAAAAAGGAAAAGTTGTTGTGACACTGTATATTCATGGAGTGTCGCAGATTTTGAAGAAAGTAGCAATGCGATCAAATGTAAAGGTAGTGTTTTCTACGCCCAATAAGCTCATGAACCTGTGCAAACTATCAAAGCATGGCGTGCGTACCAAACACGGGTGTGAAAAGAAGCACAGAACGAAATTTGTCAACTGTACAGATGGTGTGGTTTATCGCATTCCGTTGTCCTCTGGCGGACAATACGTCGAGCAGACGGGGCGCTGCCTAAATGACCGGCTTCACGAGCACAGTAACAACATGCAAAAACAAAACGGTGGCTTTAACTTACATTGCAGGGCATGCCGTTGTACACCACTGTTTGATGGATAAAAATTAGAAAATACAAGTCAACTTTAACACGCGAAGTTGTAGAAGCCAAACACATTGATTATGTAGGAGACACGCGTGTTGCTATGCCTTCAATCGCATTATCGGAGAAGGAGCTGGTTTTCCTCAGAACGAGATAGTGTTTTTTTCAATCATGCTCTGTGATGGTTGTTTCTTTGTTTTTGTTGTTTTGTTTGTTGTTGTTTTTTGTTTTGTGACTACAAATACCGGTACATGTATTCAATAAAAATCAGTTGAAAGTTGTGCCTCGTGTCCTGTTCTCCCTTGTGTCCTCGTCCTTGCTGTGCACAAGATTGCACAAGATGTCAAACCAACTAGCCCAAACAACCACTCTTCTTAAGCAAAGATAAATGGTTGTTTTTCATTACTGTTATTTATTAGCTGTTTGTGGATGTACAAATGTCCTCACTGCCTGCTATTGACCATTGTTTCTTATATTGTGTTATGAGGAATGTTCATGAAGCACTTCATCACCCGCTTTATTCTTTCTGATAATAACCATCGCATTCCCTCTTGTACAATGCCCCAACAGATATTAATGAAATAGCTATGTTAACTAAACATAAAAAAAATTAAGGGGATGATGGGAGGTGCTTACAGCCAAACTAATGGCAGTGCGGCCCCAGTTCGGATCACAAAAGTGCTTGGCAAGGCATAAACAAAGGTGCTTCGGAACACGTTAAAAGTGAGCTGCAATCTTCGCTTTCCCTCCTAACATTCCCAAATAAAGTAATGCAGTGAAATACTCCACATATGTTCAGTCAATGCAATCAATGATTAGCAGCCTACAATCAAATCAAAACTGAAGTGCACAAATTTTTTTTTTTTTTGTATAATTTAGGAATTGCAAAGCAGGTCAAACAGCCCGATTTTCCCCCAAATTTCAATAGCAGAAATATCCTTCCATTTTTTGTGTCCAAGAGGGAACTCTTGTAGCTGAAGGATGAAAACCCCCAAGTAGACCCCTCGACCAACTGCCTCCTTCCGATGATGTTGCAGGTTCAATTCCAGTTGTTCTTGAACTGCACAATCTAAGAAGTGCAGTTTGCTGGAGGTACAATAGTGAATTTAACTACTTTCAAGTAGTTATGGGGCCCAATAGGCCCTTTTCAAAACCTCATTGTGCAATCTTGGCGGCCATCATTTCTTCAACTGGACCAGAGTCCTGGCCGAACGCTGATCTATCATTTATTTTTTATACGAGCCGAGTCAAGTTCACGCACAATGCTGACATAACCCTCGTGTCCAATGCATGCTCGGAGTAGGCGCAATAGCAGACTCAAATAATTGGCCCAGTAGCTACTAGATGGCGTGCACTTTTCAAGAGGGTCTATTGCCTGAAACGTAACAGGTAAAACCTCCTTCGAGACCATTGATCCAGAGTGCGAGTCCCTCATCGCACACTGCAACGACAGTCTTCCAAGTGTCTGTTCACTAAAAAATAATGTTGTGTGTATGTTCGTACAGCCAGAACTTAGTCAGCCTTAATGGGCATCCGCTGTCTCCGGTGTAATTAAAAAATGTAGACAGTGCAGTACAACCGCTAGCGTCTTTGACATGCACCACGCAGTAGTGATAGGTATGATGCTCATCAAGATTGAAAAGGGCAGGGGTAGGGGCAGGAATTGAACCCAGGATCTCTGGGTTCTGCAGCGCGAGCTTTCGCTCCACGTGCTCCGAGCTGGTGTACGCTAGCCCACTCGGCCACCGATCCGCCTGTCCGTTCACTAGCACTGCCGCTGCTTTGGCAAGAAAGTGGACGGTAACATTGCTGCATGCTTCGAGTGAGTCGGCTACGGTTGTTCCTGCTGCATCTCTGCTCAGGATGTCTTCGGTAACAGTGCCCCACTCAAGGTCCTGGCTCCTTTGGTACCTATCAAAGTTAATACCGGGCAACACTGATGGCGAGCGCCCTTGAGACCACACTAATCTTGAGGCAGCTACAGGGTCCCAGACCATAGGCATGTGTTTTCATATTAAATGCACCAGATTCACCTAACATTCGTCATGGGACAAGAACTCTCTGCTAAGAGATGAGTTACCTGATAAATTCGGTGCCAAGCTCATCCTATTGCCCAAAGGGCAATTTTGTTTGACTAGTACTGGAGGAAGATAAAACCTAATTTTAACTACATTTGCACCTTTTTCTTTGTTTTACAGAAATTGAAAAAAAAAAAAAAAATTTACTTTTGATTACACAGCAGCAAAATATGCATTTAGAAACACCTTTTGCCTTTTTTATGTCTCTGGCTCCAATCTTTGAAGCTCACCATACTCCGTTTCACCTTATGTTGTACCGCAGCGAAGGCTAGAAGCGCGAGCTCGTATCGTTGGCAGCTGCCCTTGGTGCACGAGAGCTTGTGCCGCCGAGGTGTGCCATAGAGCAAGGAGCTCGCGCTTGTAGCCTTTCCTCCGGTACAACACAAGGTGAAACAGAGTATAGTGGTGCCTCATTTAATCCAAGGCAAATAAATGCACTACTCAAGCACAGTGGTGCCCCCCTTTCGTGCTGCACTCAGTAATTCATACTGAGTTGCATAATTCAGACACATAATCAAAGAATGTGCATTCCCTTCACAGCTACAACCCAAACGCCCAATTGGATGGCTGATCGTTAAGTCTGAACACTCGTATATAAAATAACTGACCGCACCTTCGCAGTTCAATACGCGTCTTCACACTTTCCCTATCGTTTTGAAGAGGGTGTCTGGACTCGCAAAGTGGTGGGGGACCGAAGATGTGTTTCAGCATCCCTCCTTTATGGCAAAAGACAGCTGCTATGGCAAAACTGCATGTTTAGACAGTGGCAACTGCTAATGTACACAGTTTCAGCCGGTCTGAACACACAGTAATTCAGGGCCCCCGGAAAAAGTAACAAAACATTGTCAGCCTTTACCCTCTTCATTTTGCTCTCATTCCTCTCAAAAGAAACCGAGTTACTACTATCTCTGTGAATACAACATACTATAAGCAATGCGTGACTCGCGAGTCGCAATATATCTGGGTGTGGCCCTAGTATTTAAACGTTTACGAAGCACAAGAGACATACAGCCCGGCCACCATTGCATTCAAACATAGTTTTGGGCTAGTTGGTTTGTAGTTAGGTAAAAGACCTAGAAAGTTTGAACTAGACACGGACGGTACACAGCACCTGCCCTTGTTGCTGCTTCCTGTCTGTCTATAGTTTGCGCTTTCTAACCCTTTTATTCCCTCACACGTGTTGTAGGAATCGAGCTCAGGTTTTGCTACAAGGGTGTGCCGGGCTGAAACATGTAGACACACACATAATCCACGCTAACGATTGCTGTTTGTTTCTTTTCTTTTTCTTAGGTTATGGCAGATTCTTTGACTTATTTGACTAATCGGGATAAAAGAGAGTTACGCTGCAAAATGTACGGTGTGAACTCGCCACATTTTGCGGCCTTTCTCGGCGAGGATGGGTTCAAGGTTCTTTGGTTAGCGAGCGCTGTTCACGTTACACCAGAGAATGCGCATGGACGAGATTCACCATTGTACACGAGAACATCGCCGCGTGTCTGCCGAGCAGTACACTGCCAGGGAGAAAAGGCAAACATTTCACGGTCAAACGGAGTTCCAATTTTGATACACTGACATATTGCTCTGCATGCAAAACCCCGGAAGCGGGCTTTTTTTTTTTTTTCTATTAGTTCTTTTTTTAAAAATAGCTTTCACTTTTCATGAGGGGGAAACACCAATAAGCTTTCTATGGGACGAGGCAAGGAGCATGTGTCGTTTGCGTGTTATTTTGCCGGGGGATTTCGATCCGAGTTTCTCAAGCTGCAGGCTGTAGAGCGGTGGTCCGCGTTTCAAGCCCCCTTGTTACTGCCGCCTCGGAGTTGGTTAGCCCCGGTGAACGGGCACAACCCGATCACTGCCTCCGCTTCGATCACTTTTCTACGCTGCCTGTGAAAGAGCCGAACAGAAGGTCCTCGCCACAGGTAGCATGCAGTCGTACGGCGACGGCGCTAGGCCTACTCGGCACCGCTCCGAGAGATTTTCCCAGCGTATGAATGAAAAAACGTCGGCCGATTTGTTCAGGGCCGTCCCGATTCAACGCACGACAAAGGGGGTTCTTTGGGGCACGGCTGGCCGCAAGCAGGCGGAAAAAGAAGCCCAACTACTCACGAAAGTGGCCGTAAAAAAGCAATCGCCGCGGCGGCGGTCCGATCCTCCGCGTCCCTTCGGGAAAAGAATAAGCAGGCCGGCGTCCGACGACCCGTGCGAAAGTCCTGGTCCAGGGTGAGCCGGCAGCGCTCCAGTTTTGACGAGTTTAGTGACCTAACCGTTGCGAATTCATCGGTACCGGAAATTTATTTCTACACCTTGTTTGACTTTAAAAACGGCGACCGCCGTCTTCGCTCTCACGGCCCACCTACAGCCATGCTGATTACCGACGTCAGAAACTGACTACGTCACGTAAAGTGCGGTAAAGTGACAGTCGGTGACGTCATTCATTAAGCGATGGATGGATCAATACCCACAACCAAACACTTATTTGGGCTGTATTTTGCGCCACCTAGCAAGTATACTTAAACTCGTTTCTAATAAAATATGAGTCGTGTCACACGTCCCCACTTTCCCTTCACCTCGAGGACAGCGCCCAGAGCCACTGATCTCTATGACAATTGCTGGATCGCGCTTCCCCGCTTGTTCGCTGCAGCGCCAGTGAAGCCACCGGACTTCACTCGCTTGGGATACGATTTGCCGTTTCTGCTAGCCTTTGCTGCGGTTTTCCAGCGTGCTGTAGACACGTTTTCTACTCGTTCGTCGTCATTCGACGAAGAAGTTTTTTGAAGACTCTGTGTATTGTTGAGACTTGCCGTTGTGAACACGTGAAAAATTTTACGAAAGTGCAGTGTTGCAGGAAAAAGGCACAACGCGTCGAAAGGAAGGGCTGGCGGCGTGTTCAAAGCTTCCTTGGCACGCCGAATTGTGCCGTGTCTTTGTGCCTTCGCACGCTTGGATACCGACCAAGAACCGACGCCGTGTGTATGTGTTTAGCGAGTGCAATGTGCGTGAAGCTGTTCGTGCCTCTGGATCAGCGTCTTTTCACCTCGCGGTTTAGGAACGAGCTTAATCCAGCGTCCACTAGCGACGGAAGATGGGGGGAAGGTACGTCTTTTTTTCGTCCTTAGACGATTTACACAATACCGTGCACAACAGCTCCTCATCACTGATCAGTGCTGGCTTATTATCAACCTACTTAATTGCACTTGACGTTTGAGCGCGGCTCGCCTAATTGTAATTGGTCAACAGATTGCACACGACCATATCGGCCGCGCTTCTAAGATTTTCATTCTCGCCGTCTTGTACTTTTGCTTTCGAAAACCCCCCTGGCTCCACAACGTCGCCCTATTCGTGCTCCCGCGGAATCTATTAGAGTATATTTGGGACATAGCCATGGTTAATATAGTACATAAGAACACGTACGGATCTCCCCCTTTTATTGATAGCAACTCACCGGAACAGCTGGACGATCCAGAACTCCGTGGCCGATATATATAAATGATCTAAAGGCATCTACGCGCGACACACGTTCACAACTTTTGCGCGGCGTCAATTCTTGACCGGTATCCAAGCGTGCGAAGGCACAAAGACACGGCACTTTGGCGTGCCAAGGAAGCTTTGAACACGCCGCCAGACCCTTGCTTTCGACGAGTTGTGCCTTTTTCCTGCGACACTGCGCTTTCGTAAAATTTTCCACGTGTTCACGACGGCAAGTCTCAACAATACACAGAGTCTCAAAAAGTTCCTCGGCGAATGACGACGAACGAGTAGAAAACGTGTCTACAGCACGCTGGAAAACCGCAGCAAAAGGCTAGCAAAACGGGAAATCGTATCCCAGCGGGGTTGGGTCCGGTGGCTTCACTTGCGGGAGCGGCAAGCGCGATCCAGTATGGGCGACAAAAAATTATTAAAACGTTTCAACCTGCAAATAGTAAAAAAAAAATAGAGGGGAGACAAAACGAGAATGGGTGACGGTTACGCTTATCTTCTAAATGCATTCTATTGGCGTGGCGACGGCAAAGCAATGTTTTCGCCCATACTGGAAGTGACGATATTTCAAGATGGGAGAGTTTGGTCATTGGGAGGAGCGGGCGGAGCTAGGGCATGTACCAGAGCACGCAGAAAGAGGTAGAAAGACGGCTTGACCAGCTTGACATGCTCCCTTGTCCAGCCAGAAGCCGAAAAGAATGCCCTAGCAGTGGTAGCGAGAAACAGTTTTAAGCATAGATGTGGGGTTTTAACAAGCGCGTAAGAGTTAAATATAGTAACCCTTCATGGTTCAAAATAGGGTGCAGCACATGGTGCTTCGATAATGATCATGCAGAAAGATGTAAGAAACAAATGTTCCGCTTAAACAGAGTGTGACTGCTCGGACGGTAGATTCCCGGCCCTCGGCGCCTGGCGTACGGATTATGTCGGCCATTCCGCTAGTCGTGCTCTTCCACTATGACTTTGGATGAACGTGATTGAAACATCACGTGCACCATATTTTCAGTCACCGAGAGTTACTCCGACGCACTTATTAATTTCGTTTCTCGCGACCACCGCCAAGGTATGATTTCCGGCTTCTGGTTGGCCGCATTCGAATTCGTGAAGACGCCGAGTAAATTATTAGGGTCAGGATTTGTTTAGATTGGGTGGGCTTTGTACTGACTTTGGCGGGAGATGACACATAAAGGACGGAAGGGTAAGGGAGAAGTGGAGTTGGTAGAGTGTGAATGGTGTAAGCGATGGTGCTATTTAGAGGTGACCGACTTCAAGAGCTTAGCTGACGCGATGGAGGGTAGCTTCAATTGCCGTCTCTGTGAGAACCCTACCTTTTCCTACAACGAGCAGAGCTCGACAAAGTTAACGACCTCATTAGAAAAACCTACAAGGCGGCCCTCAGCCTTCACCCTCTACCTCCACCAATAGGAAGCGAGCAAGCAGGCCGTGTCGCGGCGGTCGCCTATTGTTCGCCGCGACCTAGCGGTAGCCGCCGCAGGAGCATCGGGGAGCAATGGCGACGAACAGCACAGCGGGCAGTGTCCCCGTCATGATTACGAAGGAATTTAAGGCAGTTACGAATTCGGAAAGTTCCTTCGGTAGCCAGTGCCGTCAGCGCAGAATCATCGGGAAGTAACAGCAACGAACACCACAGAGGACAGTGGGCGATTACGAATCCGGAAAGCTTCTTCGGTAGCCGGTGCAGAATCATCGGGGGGAAGCAATGGCGATGAGCAGCACAGCGGACAGTGTTCCCGGGGTGATTACGACGGTGTTTAAGGCGGTTACGAACCCAGAAAGCTTCTTCCGGGGTACCAATATGAAGAAGGGAAAACTCCTTCGTGAATCTGGCCGCGTGTACGACGTTAAGGAGGTCCGTTTCGACGGACAAGTGGATGTCACGGAGTGCCGTACCCCGCTAACAAAATTAAGCGCGCCCGCAAAAAAATGTAGTTGGCGTTGAGTGGACTGCGGTAATTATGTACGTTTATTTCTGAATCAGCTTGACGATAACTGGGCGATTTTTTTTTCGCGCCGTTCCGCGATTCCCACTGTAGGTTGATGGAAACATCCAAGGGTAGGCTTAGGTGGGCGACCGCATTCCGCTTCTCGATTCCGGTGAAGTATTTGCTGCATGCTTTAGAGTTTTCCGTCGGTGTCAATGCTGTTCCATCGTCGCTAGAATAGAAAAAAAAAAAGTTAATTGTATTATTCGTGAGCAGCTTAAACAAAGCGCGAACTGGAAGGTAAGAAACGCCACTAACCTGTATGGACGCACAAGTCGCACCAAGATCGCGCAGTACTCCGCCTCGTACGGCTTCGAAGGGACGATGTAGAACTACGTGCCGTGCGCGATCTTCGACGTACTGTTGTAGCCGACTACGCAGCAATTGTTGCGGCTTTCTTGGTGCGGAATAGCCATCTCAGAAATTACAGCGCTAACCCACCACAACGCACAACCAACGCAGCGACTGGCAGAAGCTCCCCGATGCAATGGACCCGTTAGCCGCTAGGGGCGCCCTGGTCGGGGCTTGAATTAGATGCGAAAGGGATACTGAATCGAAACTTGAACTATTCGCAACTCCAACGCCCTATAGGTGGCGGGGCGGTAGTTCCAAGATGGCGGAAGAGACGGGGATAGATTCTCCAGGATATCATGTGCGCCTGCTCGCTGACGCTGTTCAGCGCGCTAAAATTAATTTATTTGTCTACAAATGCGAAGCGGTTAGGGAGGGATCATAGTACAGGTGACGGAGATGCTGATGCACGTTAAGAAAACGAGCATGCTATTATTTGAAAGTTGCAGAAACCTCAAATTGCGAAACTTAGTGGTGGGCGACCGCGTTTTAGGCACCGGCCACGTTACTGCTGGTGGCAGAATATTTTCGAGGGTGATGAAGATATGTTTGCGCTTTGCCTGGCCATTAGTGCTCTAGAAAGAGAGCCGCGAACGGTGACCGTCAAGCTTCGGAAAAGCCGCGTTCACAGTATTGGTGTCTTTGCGTCACAGCCTCACAACTCGCTGCTGTCTCGGTTTTAGTGTATTGCAACACTTAATCAAACTGCTCTATGGTTATTGAAAGAAAGTTTGTTACCGCAGGCTACCGTGTGGTGTAGCATTACAACCGCAATCTCCCGCTGCGCCTTTGAAGCACAATTTTCAGTGCGCGCCAGGAGCGTTGCCGTGCTTATGAATAAAAAAAAATGTTGTAGTTCTATACACCCCTTGTCACATATACGACACTACAAAACTTCAGGTCGCCGTGCAGCCCACTTACGTGAAACTGATGGCCCCAACTTTTACGAGAGGCTTGATGATGACGCAATATAAGACATTAAACAGCTAAAGTACGAATCAAAGAGTGCCGAAAAAAAAAGAAAAAAACGTGGTTTTGCAGGAAAGCCAAAAAACAAAAAACCTATTACTTTTTTTTTACAGTCATTTACTCTTACTTAAGCTATTTTAATAAGTTGCACAATTCGGCTATCAAGCCGATCGTGAAAGTTGGTAGCGCCGGTTGAACGGCAGTGCGCTGTACGTCCAACTGAAGTTGTCGTACGCTAGGCAAAAACTGCCTATTAACATAATCGGCGTGTTTAGGGGTTTTATTTATTGCTCTATCAAAAAGAAATATTTTAATATAGCGTACATTTTTTTGCCGTGTTATTTGCGACATTGCGGTCCCTCTGGCCAAAACTGTGCGTTCTGAGCACTCGTCACGAACGGCTGGCTAACACAGACGCGCCTGAAATGCTTCGAGCATTTCTTTATTTGCTTTGTAATTACCTGAAAGCAAGTACGGGTATTCTGTCTTTTTAAAGTGCTTGGAATAAATGGTCATGTTCCTTGTAACGGCCTTGAAATGCGAACCCATTCCCGATTTGTATTGCTCGAC